TTCTGACTTATGGCATTAACATAGAAGATTTAATGGTATTTCCACAGAACCCTCTTTTATCAGACCATTATCTAATAACTTTTGAATTTCTACTACCGGAGTGTAAGCAAGAGTTACTACACTAGATGTTTATCTGATGGTACCGTAGCTCAATTTAAAGAAACGATTCCGTCTGTATTTAATTCAATATCATGTCTCAATATAACAGAGGACTCCTGTGATAACTTTAGTCCGTCCCAGGTTGATGATCTTGTCGATATCTATCCTCAAATATAGTAACCTTATAAACAGCTGTAAACCCTGATATATATTGAGATGGCTTTACTCCCATCGACCTTGACAATTTCTACGTCTAAACCTTCGACCTGTCTTTTAGACCCTATACCGACTAGGCTGCTTAAAGAAGTGTTACCGTTAATTAGCACGTCTTTAGATATGATCAATCTGTCTTTACTAACAGGCCATGTACCACAGTCCTACAAAGTAGCTGTAAATAAGGTCAAGGGGATTACTCACAAGCATGAATTATGTGTCCCTAATAAATTAAAAACAAAAATACCACAAAATTGTGAGGGACATGTCTTTAGCTTTAGTCTTTGATCTTTGTTTGGTGAAAAAAAATGAAATGAGTTATTACTGGCAATGACTGATGCCTTTGAGTTGAAGAAATCTCTGACAACATAAAGACAAAAAAAAAATCAATATTTCATCAATTTTGATACTTTTCAAAGTAAAAGTCAGACATTTATTTTCAGATAGAAGTCATTTCACTATGTTCATATTTAGAGATGTCCTGAAATCAAATATGACAATCATTATTGAGCAATGGGTTTTTATAGTACCTCAAGTATTCAGAAATGTAGCTATTTCACAGTAGAAATATCTGACTTTTACAATGGAAAATCTCATAATTAAAACGCTTGTTTCCATGTATTTTTGTAGTCAGGGATTATCATTGATTATTTAAGTGAGGGACAAATGCAATGTACATGTTTGAATGATTCAACCCAAGCAAAAGCTCAACAGTAGTCTTCCAGTAAGGATTCTTAAATATCTGCGTCACTTCCGGCACAGCAGCGGACGCCACAGCCACACAGTGACGTCATCAGGGGGGAATTAAACATGGCCGACAGCAAGCGCTAGACGGCTGAAGTTAGCGAAAAGCGTGTGTAAATTCGACGAACCTCTGAGACTTTGCTGCAGGCATTTGAACTTTGAGGTACACCTTTGCTGTATCGGTGTATTTGGATACGTCTCACACATGAATTGGAGGTTCAAGTTGAGTTTGTTCGTCTGTAAAGACCTCACTAAACCGGACATTAGCCCGCGGTGTTAGCCACGTTAGCAGCCGGACCAGCGCCTGCTTTTGTCGGGAGGTTGTGCTCCAGAGGGCTGACGTGGACTGTAGCTGTTTAGGTGGACTGATTCCGGGGCTTTTTGTATCGTGTTGCGGGTGGGGTCCAGCCGGTCTAGCGGCGTGTTAGCGGTGTTGTTCATTCAAGGCCAACTTGGCAACAAAGCCACACTTTGCAGACTACGGACACTTAACTCGACTCGAGCCGCTGGACCGTAACTGCCTCAGAACATTGCGCCGGGAACATGGATCCAAAGCGCGCACACGGTAAACCTCAGACGAGCGGCAGCAGCAGCGACTCCAGCTGCGGCAGCCCCGCGTCCCCCTCCAGCAGCCCCGCGCTGGCGGCGAGCAGAGCCCCGGTGCCCGGGGGCAACGCGTTCGCCAACGACGGCAGCTTCATGGAGATGTTCAAGAAGAAGATGGAGGCGGAGGCGAAGAGGAAAAAGGAGACGCAGCAAACAGGTGGAGAGGCGAGAGACACCGAGCAAGGACTGACACCAGTGGAAAAGAAGCCCCCTCCCGTGACGAGCTTTGTAAGGGGTTTGGCAGTTGTAAGATGAGATAGCAGTATTTCAACACGCATCCAAAGTGGAGCACCATTGACAGTCTCGCTCTGACACTAAAGTTATTACATCCTGAAATAATGGCCAATATTTCAGTAGTACTCGCCTAGTACATGCCAGTGATTTGTTTTACTTTTCCATGTGTTCTGAACACATTGTGGCAATAATTGTAGACCAGCGAAGACTATGGATGCTCCTTTTTACTGATGGTTTCGCCGGTGGTGCAGCGAGAAACTAAATGTAGACCGTCTGCTCTGGTGTAGTCTCCTTCATTGACAGTCCATCTGCAAGGGCTCCTATAACGGTTTCAGTCTTCTATCCCCTAACCCAGGTGGGGAAGCGCAGAGGCGGCGTGTTCCTAAAGACCGGCGTGGTTGCAAAGAAGCAGAACAACGAATCAGAAGTGAGTGGAGATGGCGATGGGGGGGGTCAATTTGAAATGTTCTTGTTGTTGGACTTCTGACTTTAATCACTTTGTGTTTTCCTCTCCCGCAGAGCAAGCCAGGCAAGAGCGATGCTTGGTCATCGTATATGGCCGAGGTAAAAAAGTACAAAGCCCACGAGTGTGGGGACGACGATAAGACCAGGCCTCTGGTCAAGTAGGGTTCCATGACGCGAACGCGACAAAGTGTTTGTGAGGTGGACGACCATCTGGGAGATGCTCCGGGACGGCCGGCCAATCCTGAACCTTCTCATACTGCCAGCTCAAGTCACCCTTCGCGGAAAGCTCTTCACAAACTGCGTAGATTGAAGGGCCTTTTTCCCTCTTTATTTTTTTTGTGTTGCTTGTTCTTTGTTGGGACTCTGGTAATCTGATGTCAAAAGGTGTTTTGGAAACTTGGCATTCATTATTGTTAAATGTTTTCTAATTTGTCATGTCTGGGTTAAGTTAGGGTTCATTATCAGTTGGATTTGATTTAATAGTCAAACCAAGGTGTCAATTAAATCTACACTGCCCATTAATGTGTGGTGTTGTGCCTCAGTTTTGTGTTGGTTTGTAATAGTCTCACTTGACTTCACTGCGAGACTCTTGTTAAAAGTATAAACTTACCAAATATCTCCATTTTGAAGGGAAAGAATTTTAATTAAAAGTAGGTTTGAGTTCTATACAGACCAGAATTCATTCAAGAATTCAAGTACAATGAAAAAAAGTGTACAGCTCTCGTTGAAAAAAGACAAAGCTCATTCTATTTGCAGTTTACATTTCTTACAGGTATCAGTGATAATTACATCCCGATAAAAACAGCACCAAATAGCCAGTGACCATGCATCAGAGAGGGAGACATACAAAAGGCACACGTTCAATCCCACCTACCAAACTCATTCTCACACACACCTAAAAATCCCATTCGTTCCTTCTCCCTGTCCACAGTGATATAGGTCTATGTTGTAAACATTGACAACCTGTATTTGTCATTTCATTGAACAATTCTATGAATAGTATTTAAAAGTTATCAAATCGTTTTTTTGAAAAAGTTATATTTAAACTGCGGTGTTCGTGAAATGTTGAGCCGATCCTTTCAGATCAAGTATCTTTAAGTGTAACAAAGTCCTCATTTCAGACCTGTCCATCTGTCACAAAAAGTCACGTTCACGTCCCAACACGTCACAAGGTCATTTCATTAGACAGCGCCCTCCCCTCCTGGGGGCTTTGAAATCCAGCTGTATCATAGCGTCTTCCTCTTAGTGTCTCCTCCCTGGTTTTGACTGATATCTGGATGGGAATGATAGTTTTTGAAATGTCAGTGAAAAGCATCAGACAGAAAAACATTACGGAGGTCGGACGACAGATAAAAATGACTACACAGAAAGGCATGCTGCCACCAACAGGCGAGCAGAGAACAGGACAACCCCGAGACAGAGAACACCCGACACTTGGAAGAGGAGGGGAGGGGGAGGGGGGAGTAAATGGAGCAGGCTTTTGAGGGTGGAGGGAGGGTTCAGATTTTACCTGAGAAAGCGAGCTGCAAGTGAGGAGGCAGAGCAACCTGAGACCCTGCCTGGAGACTCTTATACAGATCTGAGGAGACAGGACAGGGGAACAAGAACCGAGGAGGGAGATGAGGGAGGGGAGGAACAGATGGAGAGGGGAGGAGAAGGGGGTGGGGGTGGGGGCAGGAGAGAGAGAGAGAGAGAGAGAGAACGAGAGAGATGGCACAGAGGTGAAGGGGGCGGGTGATGACAGCCAAACGGAGGAGGGGATTGGGCGAATGAGGTGATTGGGGGGGGTAACCAATAGAGGATTGGGCATTGTTTTGGTAGAGAAGGTAGAGGAAAAGGGAGACATTTTGGGGAGAAATTAAGCAAACAGAATGGAATAATGTCAAACAGGAGAAAAATCACAAGCTTACATTTGACACACAATATGATAAAACAAACGGTGCTATGACATAAAACACAAAACAAAGCCTATGAAGGAACACCAGACAAGGCAATGCCTGCCCTAATGTGTAAACATGAATATTTCACTTAAATAAACATTACATCATATTTAGCAACCTGCCACAGATAGTAAATGTACGCATGGTGCGACGTTTAAATTTCAGCCGCGTCCGTGTTTCTGCCCCACTCACTCTGGGTCAGGGTGGAGAACGACGCGTTGCTACTGGCCGCCGAGCCGCCGGCCACCGTGCTGGAGCCCAGCGGGGGCAGGTTCAGCAGCTGGGGGAACTGGAAGGGCAGGGATACGGGCACCAGGCCCCCGAGCATCCCGAACCCCAGGGGGAGCGGCGAGGCCGAGCCGAGCAGACTGCTGGCGCTGCCCGCCGTGGTGACCTGAGCAGGCGATGGTAGATGTCGTGTCGGAAAGAAAAACACGTTAGCTACGTTTGTATGCAAACCCAAAAATCAGGGCTGTAAAGTGGACAACACCTCCACAATGCAGCCTAAACTCTTTCCCACATATGAGACTTTCAGTTCATCTGAATCAAGATAAAATATCTTCCTGTTCAGTAGTACTCTTTACTAAAGGATAAGTAGCACAAAGCTAAAGTGTGGAATGATCAAACTACTACGGCACAGTACATGTAATTAGTACAAATAATTCATTTAGACAAAAGGAAGCACTCACTACAGGTTTTGATCTGGACATGCTGGCGGTGCAAACCTGGGGCAACTGAGAAGAGACGGATGACGCTGGGACAGACGCGACCGGCTTGGCCCCCTGAGGTGTCCCGCCCCCCAGCCTCTGACGCTGGCCCTGGTTGGCAGAGGCTATTGTGGGGGAGGCACTGGATCCTGAAAGCTTGCTTATGGATATGGTGTTAATAAGGCTGGCGTTGGTGGTGCTGTTGTTGCTGAGCGTCTTCTGGCCGCCAACAGGAGTGTAGCTAACTTGCACCTGCTTGCTCGCTCCTCCTTGGACACCTGAGAACACCGGGCGGTACCCGACTGCGCTTTTGGCAGAGTACTGGTGTATCGGGGGGTTTGCCTGAGACCTGGGGCCGATGGAGATGGAGGGCGAGGCTGAGGTGGTAGTGGTGGGGTTGAGGGTGCGCGGCGTGAGCTTGACGATCGGCGGGATGCTGCTGTGGGCCGACTTGGTGAGGGTGGCGTGCATGGGGGTGATGAAGTTGGACTGCGGCCGGGCCTGAACCCCAGAGAGAGTCTGAGTGAGGGAGGGGGAGGATTTGCTCAGCGGGGTGTGGGGCAGGCGAGGCATCTGGAAGGTTTTGGGGAGCATGTGTGAGGAGGATATGAGGGTGTGCGACCGAGGCTGGGGCGACACGATGATGAGAGCGTCGTTGCCTTTATTATTGCTGCCTTTGAGGAGGCCGGAAGTGGGGGCCCCCGCCTTCGGGGCCACGAGCGGGGACGCGGTGGGCGGCGGGCGCGGTTTAGGCGACGACGCCGAGCCAGGCATGTTGGCCTTGGCCATGCCCACAGCCAATGTCCTCTGAGTGTTCAACACTGAGTGTCTGTGCACCTGCGCCGCACCCTTGACGAGCCCCATCCCGTCCGCCCGCACCGAGGGCAGCGGGGCCGAGGTGACGGAGAGGGGCCGAGACAGAGGGGCCGAGGTGACGGAGAGGGGCCGAGACAGAGGGGTGGAGATGGACGAAGAGGTAGAGATGTAGTGAGGTGCGTTGGAGCTGGGGGTGCCAACGGAGTTCTTCTTCTGCTGCTGGATGAGCGGCGAGACGTGGAGCGAGGAGGGCTTGGCGGCAGCCTTGGGTCCGTCGGGGGACGGGGGGTTGTCCCCGTGGGCCAGGCCCTTGGCTGCGTTGCCGAGGATGGCCAGGGCCTGGGAGATGGAGTCCAGGGAGGGGGCCGTCAGATCCTCGTCGAGCGAGTCCACACATATGGGCTCGGACGGAGGCGGTCGCTTGGCAACCTGGGCCACGGGGGAGGGCGTGGTGCCCGCTGAGGGTGTGGACCGCTGAACCCACACGGCCTCCTGGAAGTACACATTACACAGAAACATCAACACAAGCTGTATTTATCATAACCGAAATGTACCACACACTTTCACGTCATGTTAAAAGGAAAGGTTTGCATGTCTAGAGATGAGTGTCCGTCAATGACAGTCACGTCTTTATCAAAAACTCTACTGTCGATATAAAAGTTAAGTCTCACCTTTGGCTTGGCCTTGGGAGTAGTGACCATCCTTTTCTTTGCTCTGGAGCCCAAAAAAACAACAGAAAAGGAGTGAGAACAAGCCAGACAGAGTTAGTTCTGAAGATACCGGTTAATAAAAAAAGTCACGTGACTCACGTGTAGCCTGTGAGGTGACCGTGAGCCATGATGCTCTCTTTGAACAGCATCCTGCCAACAGAAAAACACAAGTCACAGACGTCAGTTCCAGAGAGATTCATGTGGAGGAAGTTTACTAAAAGCAAGTTCAAGCTGTCGTGAAAGACATACAAGGCAGTGGTTATCTATTGTGAATACTAACTTAGCGGTCACGTACCTGGCCTGCATCCAGCCTTTGGGCCAGAGAAGTTTGACTTCGGTCTCCATGAAGGCTTTGAGGTAGTCCTCTAGAGACAGAGAGTTCTTGCCCTCCAGCTCATAGCAGCCCAGCTTCACCCGCACCAGGTTGCACAGCAGTAACCTGCACGCGATCAAAATACTCCGTCACAACGAAACAATATATAGCATCACAGGTACATTGTGTACAGTTTCAGTGATGATCGAACTGGTATGACAGACGGACGTCGCACCATTCACTGAAATATGTTCCTCTCTGTGGAAATCTGATTTATCAATCTGTGATAAGATTCAGAAGACAATATTACAATAAACTCTGGGGAGCTCTGATAGATAAAAGGTTCATTCTCAACTAAAGGAAAATAGTAGAATTTTAAAATACTTTTTACAGGACATTTGACTTTTTCTCTCATTTTCCACGACTTGAAAACTGTTTCCCAGTGCGCATGGGTTCCCCTGTTATTGCCACTTCCACAAGAGACGAACCTCCCTCCCTCCCTGAAACTAACCTGAGTTTGTCGTCCCACACAAACTTCTTCCGAGGGCCCATCACCCTCTTCCCTGGCTTCTCCTCGTCGTCATCCTCTGACCCGTTCTTCTCTCCCTCCCCCGACTGCTGCCTGTGAGCACAGAGATAAACACCTTTAGAGAGGATGGAAATACGATAAGAAAAAAGAAAAGAAAAGGCAAACAGATGCTGCGATAAACTGTGAGCCGCGGCCGGCCCGACAAAGCGTCCTCACTTTGCCACCTTGGCGATACAGTCCATGTTGTACCGGGCGATCTGCTCCGGCATCACGCTGCACACCGCCAGCTTCAGCTTCAGCAGCGGCGTTCGGAGGCGGTCGTCCTGGGAGACGGGGACAAGCAGAGTCAAAAATAACGCGAACCTGCCAGCACAGTCATCAATTCTGGGCGACAGAAGCCTTTTAGCATCATCTGCTAATCAATTACATCAAAAACAAACAAAGTGGTGAATTATTCTCTGGCCAAACATTTCCCTTTACTATAGAAAAGCCTGCGACTTCCAACCATTGAATCCTGCACATTGTTAAAGCAAATCAAAACCGGCAAACTGCAGAAAGCAGCGCACCTGTATGTTGAGGCTGAGCTTCTTAAGGCGTTTGAGCAGAGCTTCCTTATTGCAGGGCACAAAGGCCTCCAGGTGGGAGTAGACGACCGCGCGCACCTCCGCCGGCTGCTCCTGAACCTGCAACTCGATGCTGCCGCCGAGTGAAGACACGAGTGTGAGAGATGTAAAACTTATTATTGTTGAAAACATGAACATCTGGCATGGTACTCACTCCAGCAGGATGTTGTTCATGTCCAGTGTGAAGAATTTCTTCCTGCCCTCCGTGTCAAACAGACGGGACGCCTGTGTGAAGGGACAAGCAGTGTGTTCATATTTCATAGGTTGTGAGGAGGATGAGATGTTTAGGATTTTTCATATATTTTTTCTTTATAGCATTAAAACTTGAACATCTTTAGGTTTCGGACTGTCTGTCAGATTGAAGAAATAATTTTAATTCATCATTTTGGGCTCTGGGTAATCATGCTGCTCTTTTTTTTCCTCACTATTTTGTCAACAGAACGACTAATCAAAGAAAAGAACTCTTAGCTACAGCTCTGATCTAACACATGTGATCCAGCGGAGTGCTGAAGCTCGTACCGATCTCAGGTCTTCAATGCGCTTGGCGAGCGGCGCCGGGAGTCCGCTGGGCAGAGGGGGAGGGGCCATCACGGTGCCCTGCGACACTCTGCTGCCGCCGGCTTTGTGTCCCATCCCAAAGGAGCCGTTCTCTCCCTGCAGAGGGCTGGAGGGCTGAGGGGAGTCCAGCATCCCGAAGTCCAGGTCGCCCATCATGTCCTGCAGGATGTCGTTGTTGGCCGAGCCCAGCAGCGACATCACGACGGGGTCGGCGGTCAGGTCGGAAATGTTGCACTCGGTGCCGCCGGCGGCCTTGGGCTGGGCGCTGAGGAGTGCGCTGGTGGCGATGGCCGCTTTGGTGGCGATGGGCGCTTTGGCGGTGATGGCAATTACGGGACGCGGCAAACCGACAGTCGGCACGGTCCTCTTGCGCAACTCCTCCTTCTCCCGGGTGAAGCGACGCAGCATGTTGGCCAGGTGGATGGAATCCTTCATCAGCTTCTTCCTCTTCTTCTTCTCCGGCCGATGGACATTCAGGGCCGACACTCTGCCAGGACGGGAGCATAACGAGGAGAAGGACGGTTAATGGACTCAAGCGGACAATATGAATTAAGAATTATGGGAAATTAAGAGCAAGGGAGTTAACAGCGTTCACAAAGGGAAAAGCAGCAAATCCTCACATTTCAAAGGCTGCAATTGACATTTTTCCACGATCAAAGACAAACAATTCACTAATTTTCTATTGATCAACTAAACAATTACTCAACTTATAGTTTCAGCCTATTTTTTCCAGCCACCTGACTGAGTTATTGCTCCGACAATCTACTCATTAAGCTGCATTGCTGTGTGCAACAAGCCCGTGGTAAAAACACTCACCCAGACTTTGGTACTTTGTTCTTCCTGGGTTTCTTGTCCTCCAGAATTCCACCATCTGGCTTTTTCCGACGTTTCTTTATCACCCGCTCTTCGCCTTCTTTCGTCTTCTGCAAAACAGGTGCAGCGGTCGTTTATAGTCAGAGGAATAAAACACAAAACGGACATATTTGGCTGCGTATTGTTGACAATCTGCCTGCGTGTGAGGAATGAGATTTTACCTTGAAGCGATTGTCGTCCGCGCCGGCGTTCTCTCCCTCGGAGTCGGACGCCGCTCTGAACTGTAGAGTGCCCGTGTTGATGTAGAAGCCTCCGTGCTTCGTGGTGAGGGAGGCCGGGACCAGCTCGTCATACTGAGGCCAGGAGAGACGCATAATTACCAGTTTTCCTTCTACTACCACGCGCTGCGCCAGGCTTTCACCACAGCTCAGAATAACAACAAAAGTCCCAAGTTTACTCAACATGATACTTAACTGCACGCACATTATACTTTTGCAGTATCTTGTTATTGCTGTTAGTATATAAGAAGATAATGATACAAGACATGATCAAACGGGAACATCAGACGACTATTTCTACTATTGAAGAGCAACATATGTTTTCCTGGAGATTATATATTTCGCAAATGAAATAAAAGCACTTTTTTTCATTTTGATTTAAAGTCTAGGCAGTTTGCTGACTATTAAGGAATACAAGTGACCCATATGAGTAATGCAGAGAGTGACGTGTGTGTGTGTGTGTGTTTTGTCAAAAAGGGAACTCACAGCCTCTGAATTGTCGATGAAAGGGTCCGTCTCGTCGTAGCCATAGCCAATGTCAATGAGATCCTGCATCCTGTCCTTCTTCTTCTTCTTTGGGACACCGCCCTGCAAAACACTCAAACATTTTAAAATGCATACATCAGACATCCTTCTGCATGCACGCGGTTACAGCTGTCACAACAGATTGGTACATCTTGAGAACACGACTCTTACATATTTGTTGTCAAACTTCTTGGCCATCGCTTCGACCTCCCGTCTCTCCCGGTCATCGTCGGCAAACGGGTCGTTGGGGTCTAGGGGAGGAGCGAGTCCTTTGGGGACTGTTGAACCTGGAGGCTTTACCTGAGGGGGGAAAAATGAAAAAGTAATGACATGAGACATCTGTAGAGTACCTATTCTCGTAAAAAGGATTCAAACCTCATCCGACAGGATGTCTTTAAAAGGGGTAATGAAATTCTATTCCATGAAGATCGGGTTACTAGTCACTACAACAACTGTGAAAACACTTGTTTAAAGTCTCCTGTGGCTCTTGACGGAGCTATTAAACATCTGGGCGAGTCTGAATTACTGAATGAGGGCGTGGAGTTTTATTCCACATCCATTTTGAGTAATTCCGACAACACAAAGTTGTAATTACAACTTGGAAACTTTTGCCTGTTCTGAAAGCTCCGCTACATCTGACACATCTTGACACTTTCTTTATTACAATCAAAACAAATCTGCACACCTCACATCAGCCAAAGTAACTTATATATAGATATAGTGTCTGAAGTCACACTTAGGTCACTCTGTGACATGAACACTTGCAGTAAACAATCTCTGCCATACTTCCCATATGACTTGAACCCAGCATGGAGGGTCCAGGGCTTCACTCACGCAAGGAATTTAAAAGTCAAGATATCTTCTCAGCCTTTTTATTTTGTCTCTTGTAAATCCCCCAAGTTTATGGATATGGAATTGAAAAAAATCCACGGATTAAACACTTTCCTGACTTTAATACCCCGTGTAATAAACAAATAAATCACTATTGCGCATAATAACAGCAGTTATTCACTGGGTAACAGCCTTATTAACGCCACTTATGCGCGATTAACAACACATCCAAAGTTTGACACCTCAGCCTCACAACAGCAACCAGCGCAGCACTTTTGAAGGTATGCCAGATTAGGCCCCTCCCGCTCCCATCATGGTGCCATCATGGTGCCCTACTGTGCACTCTAACCTGAGTAAGAGTTGTGTTGACCAGCTCGCCGTAGTTGAACTCGGAGGACCCGCGGTCACTTGGCTCGGACAGCGGGAGGTGGAGGCGGACGGTGGGTTTCGCCTCCCCGGTCTCGGCGTCGCATCCCTTCGCGTTCACGTTACCGAACGGACCTCCACCACCTCCCGACCCGACCGCCGCCGCGGCAGCAGCAGCAGCAGCAGCAGCAGCAGCAGCAGCAGCGCCGCCGCCACCTCCATCTCCATCTTTCACAAAAGTGATGTCGACGGCCTCGTCTTCGCGGCGGCGCTTCTTGCTGGACTCCGGGGTCGGCGTTGGGGTGTTGAAGGACGAGATGGTGACGAACGGTACTTTCCTCGGCTCTGCCATTTGACGCTGTCGGTCCGACGACCGGGCACGCGGCACTCCTCTCGAGCCGCCCGCTGGCTGGAGAGCTAAAACCTGGAGATGGTCGATAAGTAACGTTAGAGCTAGCTAGTTGCTCTGCTAGCTAGCTTCCTCAGAATGTGTGCGGCGGGCAACACAATTACTTTTATCTCCTCCCGGCCCGTATTAATCCATACAGTAGTGTCCCCGGTAGAGCCCCCGACACCTACGAGGGACTTAAACTGTGAGAAATAACAGTTTTGAGCGCTTCCATGAAATTGGAGGTTAGCTACCGCAAGGAGGATTCTGTAGTAGCCATCTTGATCATTATTATCATTATTCAGTGGCTGGGCGTGCGTATGAATATAAAGCGGAAGCCGGGGAGGAAAAGGAACCGTGTTTGTCCAATGGCAGCGCTGAAACACGCCCACCTGACAGACAAGCGCGAATGTGCAGGGGGACGATTGTTCTGTACGGGCGGGATGTCCGGACCCCTGAACGCATCACCACTGTTTACAACGGGCGGGATGTCTAGACCCCTGGACGCATCACCACTGTTTACAACGGGCGGGATGTCTGGACCCCTGAACGCATCACCACTGTTTACAACGGGCGGGATGTCTGGACCCATGAACGCATCACCACTGTTTACTACAGGCAGGGATTACGTATGATGCTTTTTTTCTGCCCTGGTTGCTCGTAAAATCCGGAAATGAAACCATACATCCTCCATCTTCCCCCTGAAGCTAAAGAGGTGCACTTCAGAAGTATGAGTGAACTTCACCGTTGCAATGTACTCTTATAAAATAAAGTCGACAATTATGTAATTCAGATGCAGAGAGTACAGATTGAGATTTTGGAGTTTGAATTAATGCTGCAGTTAACACTTTTTAAACTATACATGCCAAGTTCGAATTGCGTTTTAAGAACGGGGATATTGCACTTCTCATAAACAGTTTAATTATTTTACAAACGTTTCATTCATTCGTTTATACAAACAGCTTTTTTTAATTAAGTATCTTCATTTGCTATACAAGATACATGATTACTCTGATTTCAGTATTTGTGTTGGTATATTTCTATGTGCTTGTCTGCTCTGGTCAAATTGAAGAAAATAAAAACTTGACAACACGCAGAAAAATCAATGCAATGCTGCAAACTGCAGTGTTTTGATAAGTTTAAAAAAATCTCCTCTCAAATAAAGTGATTTCATAGCAATTAGATATGAATACGCTACAATAAATGCACTCAAAATGAACACAATCTTATGGAAAAACATATTTTTGGTCATAACGCTTGAAGCATGAGGCGTCTTTTAATGCAGAGACAGCATTGCAGGTTGAGTTGGCGGGTTATTTAATTAATTTTTGCAATATGAAAATATGATTACATGTCAGACTTTTTGTCCAGCCTAAGTGCTAGTCTTTGTATGAGTAATGATGCCATCAGATCACAAAGATTGTATCTGTATTCATGTATCAATCTTATTCAAATTAACCACTTTAATATTTTCATTTGAACAGAACAGGGACTGTAAAAGTGTTACACCGAAACAGCCTCATTTATTTCAGTTATATTTAAATCTACTTTGGCTCAATTACCATAAGCCTGTTTTCTTTCATGGTTCTCCCGAGCAAACATTAACTCTCAATCATCTACCGAGATCTTTAGTCAATCAGTAAAAAATAGAGAAAAAAAACTGTTTTGGTTACAGCTTCTCAAGAATGACATTTTGCTCTCTGGAAATGAAATACAAATAATGTATGCATGTACATACAGCCACACTGCAATTTCAGGTCTACAATTTGTTGCTGCATTCTATATTAACCTGATGTACATCAGCTGCAGAGACCCAACTCACTTTATTTCATTTTCTGCAACATTTTGAAAGGACGTTGCAATATGCAAGATGATTTAGTTTAAATAATACCCAACACAAAGCACAGTCATGTCTACGTCTTTTTCACCCATTTCACCTGTACTGGGCTGACTGGCTGCACTACCACATTACCCTATGGTCAGCTTATCTTCACCATGATACCATTTTACACTATTATAGTTCTCACTAAACCTCAATGTCTTTTGACATGTGGTCATTTTTACACCTTAAGATACATGTAGTGAATAAATTCCTCTTATATCAGCAGTATGAAGGATTTGCTTTGTACGATGCTGAATCAACAAATTGTCACAATATCATTCTTCAATATTCAAAGTGTCACATGTTCCACTGGCTTTATCACATTGCCTTCAGCAGCAATTTATGTTGTGACAGGAACATTACAGCCAACAGTAACCTTCAGTGAATGTCCATTAAATAAACAGAAAAACAAAGTCAAAGTGTGAAAACACTGTTTATTGTTGCCATAGCGATCAATTTAAGCCCAGTCGGACGTAGTGCCGCCCCAGTCGGATGCCTGGGCAGTGGGGGCAGTGGACCAGTCCTCCGTGGCAGGCTGGGTGCTCCAGTCCTCTGCAGGGGAAAAAAAGATAAAATGGATTTAGCATCAAGTGGTGAAATGAACACTTTGAAGCGTTCAGCTAATTTTTAGATTCATTTTAAACTTAATCAAAAATATCTCACCTGTCTTAACAGCTGGAGCAGCTGTAACAAGAAAAAAACAGTTTAGTGTCAAATAAAGTACAAACATTAGTGGAAGGTTCGATTAGGTTGTTTACCGAAAGGAAACTAGTGATCTTACCGGGGGCAGGGAACTGTTGGATGGGCACAGATGGCACCGCAACACCCTCAGACCAGTCGGCCACCTCAGGCTGGGTGAACTCAGCAGCGGGGGCGCTCCATTCACCCTGGAACTCCTCCTTCCCAACAGCCTTCTCAGCTGCGGCCTGCTCCTCCTTCTCGATCTGCATTGACAATGTGTGCATTAGAGTGCGCAAATCAACCCATGTAACACGTATGATGCAGCAACCTCAAGCCACTGTACAGTTCTCAAGGTGCACCGTGTTTGTCTTACCTCCTCGGGATCCCTGTAGAAGTACAGATCTGGCATGACCTCCCATGGGTGCTCCCTGGAGATGGTTCCCCTCATCCTGAGAACCTCCCTGGCCAACATCCACCACATCAGACCCACAGAGTGGTGACCCTGCACAGTCGCAGAAAAGTATATTGTATCAGAAAATCTGCATTATATATGCATGTTTCACAAGGTCCACAGCTGCGTGACGATATATTAAAAAGTTAAACATTTTGTGGCAAGACCTCTACTCTCACCCCCTCTGAGTGGTTTAGAGAGAGGCGGAGTTAGGACCAGCATTATTATTTAGCACACGTCCTACACCCAGCACTGCACAGACGAGACAGCGCCGGGCTCTAACGGCGTGCAACATTCAAGAATTTGCTGAAGTAATAAAAATAAAAAAATCAGAATATGTTAGTTCTTCAGTTGGTCTCACCTTGTTGTTACAGGGGATTGCAATGTCTACATATCCCAGTGGGGAGTCAGTGTTGCACAAGGCAATGGTGGGGATGTTGACGTAGGACGCCTCAGTCAGTGGCTGATGGTCAGCCCGGGGGTCTGTCACGAGCAGGAGACGGGGCTCCCTAAAAGCCGCCTGGATCTGATTGGTGAATGTACCGGGAGTGAACCGACCGTGGAAGGTGGTGGCACCGGTGGCAGAGGCGAACTTCAGCACTGCTCTCTGAAGGGGACCAGAAAGAACAAGTTACACTCAGGATCTCAGTTAAATTCTGATCGTTATTCTAGTTAAACAAACTGAAGTGTGGCACAGGTCACTATCAAACTCCAGTCATGGGACAGCTGTCCTACTGGTGTTAGCGAAAACCCGGCCGGCTCACTCTTGCACACATCCGACACCTGAACACCGACATCAGTGCCCGGCTTTAACAGAGTGCGTATCACAGTTGATGTACCAGTGTTGAAAGTAATTCATCGAGAGTTTTACTTTACCTGTCCGGTGTTCCTGGAAGAGATGACACACACATCAGCTGGGTTTTCAATAGCAACAATGGCCCTGGCAGCAAGCAGCAGCTTCTCCCAGGTCCTCTTCAGATTGATGATGTACACACCTGGTGATTGAGGGAGAGCCCCAAGGCATGAGGAGAAGGTCCAACTTCATTTACATTTAGAACTTTGAGTACAACCACGGTGCAGATGGCCATAAAAAAAAAAAGTTTATTGGCAGGTTAGTTTTTCAACATAATTTCACTTTCTTCACTCACCGTCACTTTTTCTCTTGTACACATACTGATCCATCTGGAAGTCCAAGTTGGTTCCTCCCAGATGGGTTCCTGCCGCCAGGAACTTCAGCACATCCTCCTCCTTCATTTGAAGGACATCTAGACCTCCGGACATCGTGACCGCTTTCCTTGAGTTACGAGTGATAGGAGAGCTGGATAAAGGAGAAGCACAGGTCAGATAACAGCGGCCGGGTCTTAATGCTCGTACGTAAGCAGTTTGAGTCTTGAAAATATACACACACACACACACACACACACACACACACACGCACTATTATATCATTAATTGGGCAAAAAGCTGAAGCTTACTATGCTTCAGCTTACTTCCAACTAGGCACAGACACTACCGGGTCATGGAAGAGCGTAAACCAAAACGCAAACCAAGTGTGTGTCTACGTAATTGTATTCTTACATCTCTAATGGCAGATTTCTAATTGTATTTCATTTCGGTTAGCTGCCAATGTGATCTCATAGAAGTATTAAGAGTCATGCGTGAGGGGAACACTACGAGGTGAGCGCGTGTCAGCGGCTAGCAAGTTAGCTATGCATAGTAGCATATCTTCTTTGGGATAATTTAACACGAAAAAGACACGATAGGTCGGGGTTGTACCGACTTATAGCGTGCTTAACGGGCAGTCTGTCTTTACTTCGTCTCCTATGCGTCATTTTAAGTTTTATTATCGAAATAAAACGGATTAAAAACTCACCACGAAACAACGCCGTATGGAAATCTGACCACACGGTGAAAAAGAGGGCGCTGGGAGGAAATGACGTAGTATAAGTACCCGATTTCAAAGCCTGTGATTGGTTGGTTATTGTGTGGGGCGGATATCGTTTCCCTAAATCCACCACTAGGGGGTGGTGTTGTGCCATATGATGTAACGATGGGCGCAGAGGTAACCACGGGTCGGTTCACGGGTCGGATGGGTGTCCCATATTAAGACAGTGATGATGGAAAGACCATATTAAGACAATGCCGAGACACTGACTCTCCGGTTAAAGACTGACCCGTGTTGCAACTCTATTTGCTCGAGATAATGAGTTCCAGGCAAAGAGAACACAATATGTACACAGTCACTACGAGTTGAGACATAATTTCAATAAAACGTGTCTTATGTAAGAAAGTATAATTATGTAATTCTAAAAAAGGGGCACTGCAGACATAAAGGACAGACATAAAGGTAGATAGGTGGGTTGATTGGGAAATATGTCTAGCCTACAAATAAGGCTAAAACACACTGGAATAACATGTTTTTTGAGTTGTTTTCTGGGGGAAAACAATCTGGATTGCCAACACATGTAGAGTCGTGTTGGTCACTCACCATGCAGTGTCTATCTGATTTATTATGCTCCATTGGACAAGCTGCCATTTTATATCCAGCCTTTCCAACTATGGTCTGTAAATCAGTTGGAAAATCCACATGTGGCACAAATGGTGTGTAGCCTGCAGGCAAATGAAGTTTAAAAGACAAAGATTATTGATACCAAGCTTTATATTATTCACAGAGAAGTGTATGTGTCTAATAGAAATACATCAATCAAATTAGATGAAAAAAAACAACAAAAGTCATAAAGTTTAGTCAGCATATATTTCTCTAAGAAGATGCATTTTATTTTCACGTTTTTATTAGTAATTGTCATGCACTAATCACCAAGTCATATTCTTTGTATGTGCAAACATAACGTGGCACTAAAGAGTTTCTGATTCTGATTAATCATTTCAGCAGATAGCTCACGCTGTCTTACTTTAACCCTAACCCTATTTGACATGTCACCACTCCCCCTCTGCTGCTTATCTCCGTCTCACAGCGCTGTGATAAAGTCGTTGGCCTTTCTGTTCAGACACTCTGCTGCAACGTGCTGACTGATACGTCTTTCTAATCTATTTCTTGTGATTGCATCGTTTTTCTATCCCATCCAATTAATGAGAAAAGTAACAAAGTCCATATCATGCAGTTCAGATACTTGAACATGAGTTTTTACAAAGATCACTTTGATTTTTAAAAGGAAGGGAATCAAATGGATCAAAGATAATCAAAAGTATCAAAATGATGGACGTGCAGCTTATTTCTGGTTCTGCACACAGATGAAACATCGGGTTGGAAATAAGCTGAATATTGGGCCCGTCGTGTCACAGCGACCCTGCACAGCCTGGGCTAATAATTCAGTGTGTCATGAGACACGGGTGCTCACTGGATCACTGATGCTGATAAAATGGGTACACCAAGATTCATGTTCCACATAGTTACACTGCACAGTGCTTTATTCTCTTAAAAATCCTTAAAACGGTAAACATCTTTATACATGAAAGTACACTTCAGACACATTTTAAAAAGGCAGATGAATGCACATATGTAGTTTTACAGAAGAAAAATAAAGTAAGAATATAAACAACATTGTGTGTTTGGAGAGGCATTCAAGAGTCTCTCCAGGTTTTAACCTGTGCGTGCGACAGAACTGCAGGGGTCAAAGTGCGTTGCAGAAGTCTGAGCTGCATCTGGGACACCGTCTTGAGTAATGCAGTCTTATAGAGATCACAACTGCGACAACAGGAGACAAGAATTCTCACAGAGGCTAAATAATCAGAATTATTTTTAAAACTTGATGTGCAATACAGGGCGTCGTATCGTGCAGGTGGTATTTTAAATTACTCTCTCCAAACTGATGAAGCACTGGCCAAAAATCTGCTTCCTGAACTTCCGCCATAAGCCAGCAGAGCACATTTCATGGAGCAAAGTCTCCTCACCTGTTTGGTAATGTGCCCGTTAGTCTTTAGACAACAAGTGCAGACCATCTTCATTCACCGGTCTGCAGCTCTTGTGTTGTGGTGAAACTTCTTCATGAGTAGCTTCCTGTTTCACATTAGCCTCCTCACTCTGGGACTTGAGTTTGAGCTCTTCTCTCTCACTCACAAGGCTCTTATCGACTTTTCCCCTTCAGGACTTGAGTCCAAAACGGGCCATCATCTGCTCATACACAGTCCATGCCATGGCAGCGATCATGGTCCTCCTCAGTGCCCGTGGAACTGCTGCTCTAAAGAACCCCTGGAGTCCGTGTTCCTGAGAGCGAGAGAGGACGAGACGGAAGAACAAGGACAGTTAAAAACAGTCTGTTCAAACGGATTTGCCCAAAAGCAAAAAGAGGAGGGAGACAGTTACCATATAGATGTATCTGATCGCCTCGGCCGTCCTCAGCTGTGGATTCACTTGGACGTGCGTTTTGACCACATCAGCAGGTTGGGTGATCAGGGAGGCCACGATCCCCGACAGGACGCCACAGCTGAAGTTAGCCAGGGGGGTGGAAGCAGATGTGCTGATTTCTTAAAGGACGATAGACGGTGGGTATTTAATTCAAATGAAAATAAATAGCCCAAGCAAGACCAACTGTTACTGTTTTTTGTATCCTTAATTTGGGATTTTTATTTTTTTTTTAAAACAATGACATGCTGCAGGTTGTTGCTGAATGACCTCGGGGTATGCGCTTACCTTTTGGCAGCGAGGCCTTGGTCTGGCTGTAGAACATGACGTAGATTCCAGAGAAAGGAACATCTCTGAGCAGAGTGGCCATCAGGCCAGAGAACAGAGCGGCAGGACCTTCAGTCCGACACACGCTGCGCAGAGCGCCGGTCACACTGCCATAACTGTACCGGCCGCACTGAAACACACAGTTTGTTTTGTTCAGTATGCACTCAACACACTCGTCTCAACACAGACGACACACAAAACGGAAAAGCACACTGTGCAGCTCGTTTGTCTGGTTTACACTCTTTATACTGAGTCAGACAATAATACCTGAACATTGCATGCTGATATAGTGCACGGAAACAAATTAGTTAGCTAAAAAGCAACAGATAAACATTTTAAACAGCTGGCTAAAAGTCAATGAGCCATAAGTAATGGATAAATGGACAAAACGTTAAACTTCTGACACTCCAAGTGGTAGCTAGGACGAATGCAAACTTGACCAAAGCAACCTAAACACTGACAGCACAACTGTATGAAAAAAATACTGCAACAATATCCACTTTTATATGATTCATAGTGTGAAATAACATCCGGTTTGAATGAACACATTTGGAACATGACTGGTGGTGTTGATGATGAGTGCATCAAAGAAAAAAGGTGGGAACCACTGGTCATGTTATCGGGACGTCTGGCCAAATGTATCTTTTACCCCCACACACACACACACACACACACACACACACACACACACACACACACACACACACACACCTGTCTGTGCTTACTTCAAAGCGCGTCTTGATGACAGTGACCGGCAGCATGAAGACCCCTGCCACCGTCCGGGCCCCGCCTCCCAGCAGCACGGCCTCCATGGCCCCTGGGCTGCCGTCCTGGAAGAAGTGCTGCTTCAGAGAGTAGTAGGTGCTGAAGTAGATCCCCACTCCCGGGATGGTCCGAGCAAAGGACTGGAGGAGCAGCAGATGGATGAGAGGGCAGAGTCAGGAGAGGGGACTTTTTTTTTTTAATACACTGAGAAGACTTTCAATGGGACGGGGGGGGAGTAAAGACAGAATAAAGCTGTCCTAACCGGTGAAACTCCTTTCCACAGTCCCAGCAGCCTCTCTGTCCGCACCACGCTCCGGAGCACCGTCATCATCCCCACTCTGCCAGAGCTGAAAGAGGAATGCTCAGATGAGCTGATCGATGGGGACATAATGAATGCTGCCTTCATGCACGGGGCCTCACGCTGCATGTGTGATAACAAGGATTAGCCGAGGTAAAACGTACTATTGTGTTAGTCCAGTCAACACGGCAGGTTTTTTTGGGAGGTCGTAAGGAAACAACACGTGTGATGCAACGGTGCGTTTGTGTACGCAGACTCACCCGGGCTGCATGCTGCTCTGCAGAGTCTGCAGACGGGTCTTGATCAGGTCTAGAGGCTGGAAGAGCAGCGTGGAGCAGGTCCCACTGACGGAGCCACACATGAAGGCTTTGATGGCTGGGTGGGCCTGAGGAATAAAAAGAAACATTTGATTCATACGCAGCTTTATTAATCGCGTGCTACAGATAATGAAGCTTGATTTGTGACACAAAGCAAAGTTATTTTCAAATCAAATCACACAGGTTAACCCAACTTTTTGACTGTATTTTCACAGCGTACACTGTGCCAGTAAAATAAACTGTCCACCCTCGCTGTATTATTCAGCTGTGATGTAACAACACGGTTTGCCTCCCTAAATGTAATAATCCAGGAACTTGTCACGTTCACTAGAATCTAGTTAGAGTGAAAAAGGCGGGTAGAATAGCTCATAAGTATGTCAGACAGGATGCCCCTGACCTAAAATCAGGCGCGACTACAAGAATGATGCTTCTGCTTAAAACCCCAAAAGGTTATGACTAATCAGATAAACAAAAGTGTAAACAATTTAAAAAGCTTTGGAAGACTCACCAGTGACAGTTCCATAGTTTCTTTCCACACGCAAAATCTCTCTCTTCCTTTGTCAATCTGTCGCTCTGCTGCTGTCCACTCTGAAGTGTCTGCACACCTGAAAAAAAGAGGAAACAATGAGATGTCGTCGTTCAGTTCTCCATACTGAGACACTCACACAGGTGCATGTGCCCTGCTGTCGGAAGATGATCTCACACACACACACACACACACACACACACACATACACACACAGTAGGCTAAATATACAGATCACATGACCGACAATGTGCTTCCTATTTGCGACCACCGGACAGACAACACACAACTACTTATCGACTAACCGAAGATCGTTGTGCTACATATTAGGATGGATCTGGTACATGATTTAACGCAACGTGTGTGTGTGTGTGTGTGTGTGAGAGCTGCATCTATCTGGGGTCTAAAAAGTCTGATAACGCCACCTTTTTTCTTTTCTGAGCAATGTCTCCAAATCACACACACCTGCAGTTTTGGTTATAATTGAATTTCACCCCATGTAGTCCATTAACGGCCAAATAACACCAATATCATCTGACCATGCTTTCATAGAGTGCATACAGCTCAACCGTTTCAACAGACAGAACCAGTCTGCAGTATTTACTTGCTCAACACGTGATTATTAACAGACCTATGGGGCTAATGGTATGTTACACTGTGTGATAGCTACATGCAGGGCCCGAATTATCAATTTATACAAAACACTCTAGAAATACTTCAGGTGTGTTCTTCTGTAACTTACCCTCCTTCAATGTGGCAATTTTTGAAAGTGTTCAATGAACACATAAACGACACGGTGACGAAAAGACTAGAGGGTTCTTTGACAGAGTGCCTCCTGTGTGATTAAAACAGGTCTTCTTCTTCCTCTGAAAGGACAGCGCGCGGGTCCGCACCTTACCAGTTAGCGTCACAGTCAAGTTCTCTCCGTCGAGGAGTTTGAAAAATAACACCGACGAATTTAAATGTCAGCGAATATCCTCCCGCACACCTGAACTCTACTCCTCACTAAAGCTCTGTGCTGCGACATTAAAACACGACTTTGTTTCTGACCGTCTCATTGAAAACTCAAACCGGCTGGTTCCTGCTCCATGACGCGGCATATCGTAACGGTGACAAAGCCCCGCCCATCTTGGAGGTGCTGGCTTCTGATTGGTTAAACAGTGGGCCGTTGTGTCACTATTAAAGGGGCACCGCATAATACTTAGTACCCGAGATAAAAAAATGTGAGAAGAGTCTTTTATCCTTTATTATAAAAAATATATATCATGAACATGAAAACACTGCTGCTTGGTAGAGACTTTATGCAGTTGAGATCAACAAAGACTATTTCTGAACGTACATTCAGTCAAGAAGAACTCAGTCTTTACTCCAGTAAAAGTAACCACCACAAATTGCTCTTTTACAAGTAAAAGTACAGAAGCGTTATCAGCAAATAAGTAAAAGTACCGAAAGAGTCCTTATAAAGCGTTGTACAATTATAGCATTGCATCACTTGTATTCATGCTTCAATGAGTTTGTTTTGCAAGTGAAACAATATTAAGCTTCCCTTTTTAATATTGATGTATAACTGGAGTAAATAAAGTACATTATCCCGTGAAGTGGAACATGGAAATACTCAAGTACCTTATAGTCCTGTGCTTAAGTAAATGTACCGAGTCACTTTCCACCACTAGCTTTTTTTTTAATTTTTATTTTTTTTTAAATAAAGTATTTCTGTCTATATTTGACACAAATGTAAATCTAGTAACAGAAACTACCAACAAACAAACCGCTGTATTATGAAGTCGTGGTTGGTCATGTCTTATAGAACAAACGTGCGTGATATGAAAAAAAAAAAAAAGTTCTCACCCAAATGTCTCACGCCGTCCTTGTTTACTATATTTTATTCACTTAAACCGGTTCTGACTTGCTGTGCTCAGACTTGTCCTAATGCGTCTTCTGGAGAACCCCCTACTGCCCTCTGCTGGTGAAAATACATCATTTCATAAACAACTTCAGTCTCAGAGGAGTCGTTTTGGACTTCAAACCTGACTTTACTAAACACGTAATCCCCAAAGTATTGACTTGAACACATCAGTACGAGCCAACGATAAAGACACAGGTAGACAACATGTAGCGGTTTAGAAAGCCTCTTTAATTGCAATGATACCAACACGATTTTCCATTCCAGAGGTGCAGACAGACAAACATTACAAAAGAACTGAGGAGATGCAGTTTTTTTTGGATTTTCTTTGATTTTTTTAAGTGCGAAAGAGCGATAGTTTTTTTTGTGTTTTTATTTATCTGTGAGCTGTTATTCTCAACACATTCCTCTCACTTCCCAGCAGTGTGAGCCGAAAGCAGCCCCGAGCACAGCCTGTGAGGGGTCTCTAGCAGAGCTAGCATCTCGGCTCAAACCGCTCATCCTATACTTCTGCTCAATACTTTGACCACATGTTGACTCATGTCTACATGAAGCCCCGTCAGCCAGAGTACAGTGTACATTGGTTACAGTGATGAAGTACTTCCCCTCAGCAAGCTGTGCTCTGAGAATACAGTGTGTGCTGTGAGTAATAGACTACCCCGTCACCCCATTTAAACTTGAACAAAAACACCGATAATAAATGTAAAAAACAAGAATCAATGCATGTCCAGGAAAAAAACAAAAAAGCCAACAAAACCCCGCCCAGTAGAATTCAGCTGCATTAAGGCCTTAGTGTGTTGGCAGTCTGTGCGCTTACCGACTGAAAACGCGCACCGTCAAGCCAAAACTTCCAAGCTTCTCCGCCAATGTGTCAGTGAAAAAAAAACACAGAAATGCAGTGGTTTATAATGTCTAGGCTTAAGTGTTTCTTTTGTTTATTTTCTCAACTCAGTGCAAAATTAAGAAATTTCCGCAGTCACAATCAAATGCCTTCAGTATGCGCGTTAATGAGTCCCCAATTGTGTCAGTTGCAATCCGCCTTCAATTTCATTTCCGCAAGAAACGTGTGTGTATATAACATTATTAAGCCCAAAAAAAGCGTAGTCACGAGTACTAACTGCAGCTAAATTGATAGGATACATTTCCGTGTATAAACCTTCATTATAAACTGAAGCGCGAGCGCGAGCATAATAAACATGAAGCACTTCCATTCTTAACCATTATCATTGAAAAACTTCGGCATAAAATATAATTCTATAGATTGAGATATTACTTTGGTCCCCTTCCAGTAATCTGTCTTCATCTACATTACTTCCTTTGTTTTCTCTTTCTTCAATTAGAAAAATAGATCCCAAATCAGGACTAATATATTTGTAATGTTTCCTAACAAAAATATTAGATTTTTCCCAGAGAACGAAAAAATGAAGCAAACAAAACTAATTTGGCTCCCCCCCAAAAAAAAAACCTTGTCAGCATGGCGATTGTCCGAGTTTACTGGCTTCTGTATGTGTGAAGGTGTGTTAAGAATGCATAGATTGTCAATGGTATAGAGATCAGACTGTCACAGGGCTGAACTTGGAGGAGCGGGTCGAATCTCTGTCTCTAAGTCTGACTCGTGTGTTCCTGCCCGCTCAGTAGGTACAGTAATGTGTGCTCCTAAGTGTGTTTGGATCGGCCTATTCGTGATGCGGTTCTAAGGAGTCGAGTGGCACTGTGGCGGTTCATTCAGGCTTGGGTTCGGGGATCTCAGGCTTGGGCTCGCTGTCCTCGTCGCTTTCGATGCCCGCGCGGGTAACGGTGCGGCGCACGGTGAAGGGGAAGTCGCCGCGCCTAAAAAGATATAATGGGAAAGAAAGAAGAGATTAAAACTACACTACAGAACTCTTAACGTTTTGTGAGACACATTTGAAGACATTGGTGTGATGGAAAGTTCACTGCATTAAAACTCAATTTGATCATCACGCTTGAAATAATGTGCTGGCACTTTAAAGGGCACCGTCTTGCATTTAGCTTCTTGTATATAGTTCTTTCAGTCTACTAGGATTAATGATACATTCACCAACGTCAACAGATTGTGTAGAATGGATAATAATGAAAGGACACTATAGACCCTTTTCCCACCTGAGCTTGTTCTTGAGGGTGGAGACCTCACGGTTCATGACGTCAGCCGACTCGGAGGCGTCCTCCAGCTCCCTCTGCAGCTTCCTCCGGTTGGCGTTGGCTCTCTGGGCCTCTTCCTCAGCCTCCTCCAGCTGACGCTTCAGCTGCTTCATACGAGAGTTCGACTTGTCCACCTGCAATTTGGACACAGATAGCGTTAGACGTACAGAAGAGTACCGATGTCCTTTCTCCCGGATGTGGGCTACGACCGCCATCATCTCGACAGCGGTGACTGAGAACCTCCGACCTGGTCTTTGTACTGCTCCGTGTTGCGTCTCTCATCGTCCACCTGCAGGATGACTTCCTTCAGTTTCTTCTCGGTGCGTCTCACAAGCTTGGTGGCACCCTGTCTCTCCCTGAGTCAAGAGCACAGCATTGGTCAGACTAATGTCACATAATGTGGGCTGATATAACCTGGTGATGGAGGAACTATTTAGACCTCGACTTGTGTCAAAAAAAAGATTTAAGTCCTGCAATGAAGTAATACCATAAAAATGCACTTCAAGTATGAAGGATAAATGTACTCCTAATGCAGAGACGATCTATGATGTGTGGTTGGGTCGGGTGCATGGACCCGCTTGTAGGTTTAATATCATTGGGTTATATTACCGAGAGAGTAAAAGTTAACTTAATGCTTCATCCACACACTCTTAGCACATCGCTATTGCCAGATGACAACTTTCTTCATCTTAACATATTTCCTGTAACAGGGTGGAATAAACAAGCTAAGTAGCGGGGAGCAGGCTAGTTAGCTAGCTAGCTCATTCCACCATGCTTTAATGCTACAGTGGTTACAGAAAATGAACAATGGGCTGGGTCTAAGAGTCCCTCCTCCTCACTCTCTGCCGCTACACCCAGTTTGTAATACTACAGATATATAAATACTGCAATACTTTCATCAGTGGGCCGTAGGCTCAGTCACCAATGTGTTACCGCTTTAAGTGACTCAACAGACAGTCGTTTAAATGAGATGTCCACTTTAAAGTGCTTTGTTGGACATTAATAGAATTTAGAGACTTTTTGGGGCATTCAAGAAATTGTTTTTGTATTATTAGGTGTAAATATAATGCAGAATAAAAGCCTTGGCTGAGGCTCCCACCTGGTCTCCATGTCTAGCTGTTCCTCCAGCGCAGCGATCTTTGACTCCAGGGCAGCCATATTGGCCTTGTACTTGGACTTGACCGTTCCCTCCAGCTCCTGCAGCTTCAGCTTCAGCTCCTTGTTCTGACGCTCCAGCTGGCACCGAGCCCCCTCCACACGCTGACAAGTACTGCGCTCAGCTGTCAGCTCCACGTTCATCTGGTCAGACTAAATTTAAAAAAAAATAAAACAACAACAAGGGCAAAAGCAGTTGGACAGGGTCTGTTCTCTAAGCCTGGGGGTTTGATCGATTTAATAACTTAAAATAAAACTATTTTCACACCACAAATGGAAAAGTGTTTCTTCTGGAATGACACTATAATGAGCTGCTGAATATTCGTGTCCACAAACCTGCAGCACTGCTTTCTTCAGCCTGTCGTTGGTCAGCTCAGTGTTGCACTGCTCCTCCTCCAGCTCCTCCTCCAGCTGAGCAATGCGAGCCTCCATCCGTCTCCTGTCCTCTACAGCCTGAGCACTGAGAGGTAGATCCGAGAAAGGTGGGAAAACGGTCAACAGGTGATGCACACAACAGACAGTTGGGCTTTTATTTTACTTGAGGGATGCCTTACTTCTTGCTGGCCTGGTTGTTAATCTCATCCTGCAGTTCATCTCTCTCCTGCTGGGCCTGTCTCTTTACTCGCTCTGCAGCCGCCAACTCCTGCACAGGGGTGAACAAGGAAAGAGAAAAAACATTCAGTGTGCAACAGAGGCCAGGGAGTAGAATAGAGTCTCAGAGGAGCGCGTGCCCACCTCCTGCATCTGGATCATCTCAGCCTCCATGCCCTTCAGCTTCTTCTCCGTCTCCTTGCTTGAAGCGAGGATCTCCTCTCTGGACATGCGAGTGTCCTCCAGCTCCCGGATAAGATCCTTCATCTGGGCCTGCGGAGTCAGTCAAACCGAGTCAGAGGAAGCTGTTTTTTTTTTTTTGTCGTGTTGAAGACATTTCAACAACCGACTCACTTGGATTTTCTTCAGCTGTTTCAGGGCCTCGTCACGGTTCTTGTTGGCATTGTCGATGCCCGCCTCCAGCTCCTTCAGGTCCAGCTCCAGCTTCTTGCGCCCGGCCACGGCTGCGGAGCGCTGCTTCCTCTCGTCCTCCAGCTCCATCTCCATCTCCCGCACCTGAGGGATGCCAGTTTGAGTTCAGCTACTTCCCAATACACAAAACCAAGACACTGCACCTGCACACTTACACCCTCTAAGCTGTAACCACATTTAATGTAAATGATTTGAAGTCATCATTGAGTTCAAATTAGTTAATTGCATCCATTTAAATTGTGTCTAATGTACAAGATCTACTGCAGCAGCTATTTAAAAAGCACCACTGTGTTAGAAATGTACTAATTTAGCTCTGAATATGGCAACAGCACGTGCACTTTCATGTCATGCTCATTTTCAAACGATTGTCATGGTGGAAAAACAGGCTGACTGCTTCCATTCAAATGTTAAGCACATTTTAAGTGTATTTTTGAATGTGAATTAGCCGCATTTCCATCAACTGATTACAAACAAATAAACTTGGCTACAGCGTAGTTTGGTCGGAAGTTGACGCTATAGTCTACGCATGTCTGTAGTATGCCAGTAAACAGTAGAAGAAGAAGTAGAGGTTGCGAACAGAAAACAAGACAACTTGGCCGATCAAACTCATCTACGATCTTTAATTTATTAAACGTTCTTTTGTGCGTTATAGCAATACCAGAGAAGACGCCGACAGCAGAAACAGCTGATCAGCCATGCGATTATGTTTGCTACGTTCGTATTTATTAAGCAAAGCCCTTTCAATAACTCATTTCAATAATCAAGGCAAAAAACACCTCAAACT